GTGTGTGTGTGTGTGTGTGTGTGTGTGTGTGTGTGTGTGTGTGTATGTGTGTTTCTTTCCTGGGCTGCTCCAGCAGCTGGTTATTCTGGGAACAAGGGAGAGAAATAAATCCTCCCACTTCAGAGCTGACAGCTGCTGTGAGGCTTTTTGTGGCTCACCAACAGTGTTTCAGCTTCACTCACAGCTTTTATTCCTCATCTGTTATCACAGAAAACATTTTATCAAAAGGAATATATTTGTCCCGTCCTTGTGAAACACTGTATTTATCATTTGCATCACAACAGAGTTGTTTCGTTCGTTTTTGTTAACATGATTTTGTTGTCTGTTCACCCCATTTCTCCTGTTTTTCAGGCTTTTAAATGAAGATATATATACTTCTGAAAAATAGTTGCAACTTCATCTCATAAAAGTCATTTGATTCTCACAAATGAAAACAAATAAAGATTTTTTTATTATATTACTGAGAGTTGTTCATTGTTTGTCTTTATTTAAAAATGTCATTTATCTAAACCAATGTGTCAGTTAAAATAAAAAAGTAGAATTACAGTCTGGACATTTGCTTGTGAGATGTTTGATTTTTTATTAGTGAAATCACAGTTAAACACTTGTCTTCATTCAGATCATAACAAGCTGTCAGGCTCTATGATGTGATCAGCTGCAGACGGTCACTAAGATGATGCAGAGAAAACCAAGGACAGCAGAAAATCAGCTCAGAAAACAAAGCTTGTAGAAAAGTCTGTTTTGAATAGTTTCTCATGTGGGTTGGAAAGAAAAAGAAATTTGAAAATTGTACTCCTCTTGCTGATTTTCTTACACTTCAGAACTGTTCCTCCATTGTCAAGAATCTTGGAGCATTTTTAAATTTTTTTCTTTATTTGAGAAGCAAATATCCTCAGTTGTTAAAACAGTTTTTTATCAGTAAATCTACCAAAGCAAAATCATTTGTTCTTTCAACAAAACACTTACTTCCATATGTTTATCATCTCCAGACTGGATGACTGCAAGTCTTTAAATGATGGTCCTTTAACCCTAAAACAGCACTGAGCTCATCAAGTCTGATGTTCTGATTGCAGCTGAGAGCTATAATTAAAGCACAGAGGGGACTGGGGCTCCTGCTCCCAGACTCTTGTCTGGACCAACCTGAACATTTATTCAGACTGCAGAGTCAGTCTTTTAAATCCTGCCTGAAAGTTCCGGCTTTTAATTTAAGTTCAGTTCCATTAGAAGTTTAAAGTTGGGATACTTTTTTTTTTAGATTACTTGGTCATACTTGTAGATATTTAATGTCTGATTTCTTTTAGTTGTTTTATTTGTTGTTCTTAACTTCCTTGTGAAGCACTTTGGTCAACATTGTTGTCTTTCATTGTGCTAAACTGTAAATAAAATGATCGTTGAAAGTTTTTTGCTGCATTTTAAATCTAAGATCATTTGATTTTTGCCATCTTTCACATAACTTACTTATGTGAACTATAAAAATTTCAATTCAAGACATTTTTGTGACTCAGACTCACAAACAATAAAAAATGCCAAAGTATATATAGTATAGTAA